CAAAAAAATAGCCAGGCGTTGTGGTGGGCACCTGTGGTCCCAGCCACTTGGAAGGCAGAGACAGGAAAAAAAATAAAATAAAATAAAATAAATAATAAGATGAAACCAAAAAACGTTATGCTGATAGACTTGAAAACAACGAAATGGACATGTTCTTAGAAAAACAATGTTTATCAAAAATTGACTCAAAATAGAACAATTCATCCTAAAATTCACATAGAATCTCAAGGGACTTTGAATAACCAAAACAATTCTGAAAAAGGAGAACAGAGGTGAAGGACTCATACTTCATGATTTCCAAAATACATTGCAAGATAAAACATATTACAGAGTGGTAGTGGCATAAGCAAAGACAGAGAGACCAGTGGGATATAACAGAGGGCCCAAAGGTAAACTCTTGAGTATATGGTCATATGATCCTTGACTAGGGTGCCAAGGCTACAAATTGGGAAAAGGGCAGTCTTTTCAATAAACGGTGTTGGAAAAGCAGATGTCTACATCAAAAAGAATGAAGCCAGGCTCTTAACCTTAGACAACATGCAAAAATTAACTCAAAATGGATTATAGACCTAAACATAAAACTGCTGAAGAAAACATAGGGAGAAACTAAATAACATTAGACTTGGCAATGATTTCCTGGCTAGGGCACCAAAAGCATAGTTGACAAAAACAAAAATAGACAAAAGGGACCACATCAAACTTAGAAACTTTTTTTTTTAAACAGAGTCTCGCTATGTCACCCTTGGTAGAGTGCCATGGCATTGCAGCTCACAGCAACTTCAAACTCTTGGGCTTAAGCAATTCTCTTGCCTCACCCTCCCAACTAGCTGGGACTACAGGTGCCCACCACAACACCCGGCTATTTTTTTATTGTAGTTGTCATTGTTGTTTGGCAGGCCCAGGCCGGGTTTGAACCCTCCAGCCCCAGTGTATGTGGCCGGCACCCTAACCACTGTGCTACGGGTGCCGAGCCCAAACTTACAAACTTTTGTACATCAAAGGTCACAATAAACAGGGCGAAAAGGCAGCCTACAGAACAGGAGGAAATATTTGTAAACTATGCAGCTGCAGAGTACTAATACCCAGAATT